GCCGGGGCCCAGCGCGCCCCCAGGTAAGCGCCGCCACCCGCCCCTGCTCCCGCTGCGCTCCGAGGCGTCCGCGGACCGGGGTCTCCCGAGCTCGGGGCCTGAAATTCCCCGGCCGGCCGGCGGCTGTTAATTCCTCTGCCAAGTCCGCGCAGCCCCAGCGGGAACCAGCCACCTCTCAACACTGGGGTCGCGGGCCTCGGAGCTGAGGCCGAGAGAACCGGCCTGTTTCAGGTTCCTCGGGACGTGGGGTGGGTGGGACACCTGCACCTCAGGGTCCTTGCAGAGCTGACTGGGTGGGAATCCGCGGGGGAGTGTTGGTCAGAATAGCAAGGCCCTCCTCGCGGACTGGCGGGGGGCTGCGCGATCCCGTGGGAACTGAGCGGTTAAAAAGGCCTTCAACTCTGCAGATCCCTGCACTGAGCGCGGGGCTGTAGGACGGCCTAGGGGCACCGCCGGGCCCCGGCTCACGCCTGCCCAGACTCCAGCCCGATGCCCTGTTCCGGCACAATGCTGTGCACGTCTGTTTTCAAGGCTAAGCGTGAATGCCTCCCCCTGGGTAGGACCCGCCAGGCACCGGGATAGGGGATGTGAGTGACACAAACACGGGAGTTCCAAACCGTGGTCCTGGATGAGTGCTGTCTGGTTAGTGTGAGTTCACCATGTCACTCTACCTAGGAACCGGTGCAAATGGAAAAGTCCACGCTATCAGGTGGAGACCAAACGGCCCCACCACGGGGTTTGCAACATGGTTTAAATGGGGAGGGACGGCGTGCCTGCCGGTGCCCAGCCAGAGCGTGGCCGTGGGCAGGTCCTCGTGGGGAGCCTCACTCCAGCCTGGGTCTGATGCCCAGTGTGGGGAAGCCCTGGGGAACTCTGCGCACTGCCTCATCCCCGTGAGCCACCACCTAAAATGCCCGTCCAACTCTTCCTGCTTCTAGAAGTGTCGTAGAACAAGTTACAGGTGAAGTCCAAGTGAAGTGGTACTTTGTTAGCCATCGCATGGCTTCCCTCCTGAGCTAGAAACCACCGCTCACCTCGCCTCCCTGGAAGATCTCTAAATTAGGGGCCACAGCCGGCCGGTCTCCAGCAGGTGGCCAAACACTCCCCAACTTAGGGGCCTCACGGTGCCAGGGTGAAAATAGCTTCTACTCCCCAAGGCTTTGAAACTCCGATCTAATTTGTGTTTTGACAGCATTTCACAGCCTCAGGAACAAAGCACAAAAGTCACCTCAGGGTAACGTGGGTGGAATTAGAGGCACTGCAAACAGAGAGACGTGCCAGGGCCACCCCCATGGGTTCATTGAGCTGATTCAAGTTTTACTTGAAGCCTCCTCTTGTGTGGAAACCTGCTCACTTCACTGTCACACTGACTCGTTCGTCATCGCTGACATCCGAGACTGAAGTGAGAGAAATGCGCAGGGTGCACTTTTTAAATAGACTTTTTCAAAGTGGAAAGGGAAGTGGAGGAGATGCAGTCTCAGGGGTACCGAAGTCATGCCCATGGGGTCTGATGATTTCCCCCCAGGCACCTGACCCTTTAGGGTCACAGGAAGGACCGCAGCCCCCACTCTAACGAAGGGTGTGCAGGACTGTGCCTGTGAGTGGCGGTGGTTTGAGAGGTACTGGGGTAAGCCCTCGAGATAAAACAGCAGCGCCTGGACTGTGCTGGATTCACACAGGAGCCGGGGGCCAGCCTTCCCAGCAGATGATGAAATCATCTGATGGGATCACGATTGTGTGTTTAAATCACGGTGTGAACTGGCGTGTGACTCGACACCTTTAATACACAGAACTGTCCGGGCGTCTCGGGGGGAAAGAGGGTGACTTCCTGGCAGTACCTGCTCTGTTTGCTCTGTTACTTCAGGGTCCATGGATGAAGTGCTGGCCTCCTTAAGGCGAGACAGGACCCCGCTCCGGAAGGCGGACATGCCCGCCTCTGCCCCTCCCCACGCCTCAGTCAACGAGCACATCCTGGCTGCCATAAGGCAGGGCGTCAAACTGAAGAAAGTGCACCCCGACCTTGGCCTGAGCCCCAGCAGCAAGCCAGCCAACGACCTGGAGACCAGCATCAAGGCTGCGCTCCAGAGAATCAAGAGGGTGTCGGCCGACTCAGAGGAAGAGGAGGAGGGGGAGGAGGGTCCCGGCGAGTGGGACCACTGAGCTCGCTCCAGGGCCTGTTCCAGAAAAGCCGATGAGCAGGGCAGAGTGGCCACACGACCGCCGGGAGGCTGCAGGGCCGCGTGCAATACCGCAGCTGCTAGTCGGTGCCGTGGGGTTTTTGTTTTTTAAATCCTCACTTGAGGATATTTTTCCCGTTGCTTTTCAGAGAGAAGAGGGGAGAGCGGGGGAGAGAGACACATCGATGTGAGAGACACATCGACTGGTTGCCTCCCACACGCCCCCGACCAGGGCCGGGGATGGAGCCTGCAACCAAGGATCCTGCACTTGGCTGGAATCGAACCTGGGACCCTTCCGTCTATGGGCTGACACTCTAACCACTGAGCCACACCAGCCAGGGCAGTGCTGAGGCTCTAACGCCAGAGGAGGGGAGAGGTGGCCACCTGCACACACCAGACTGCAGCCGGGCTGAGGCCCATGGCGAGCGCTGCCGGCGTAGAGTAGCAGTGATCCTGCACCGTGGGTGTTCTGGAATCATTCCTCGTTCTGAAAGACGTTCACACGACAACGGCAGGTGGTGAGCAGCACAGACTGCTGACCGTGTCCCGTGTGTGTGAGCATTACTTTAGCAACAACCAGCAAATCGCTTATATTCAGGAATTATTTTAAATGAGATGTATTTTACGTATCAAGCACTCTTTTAACTCATAATAAAGAACTATTTATAATGCATCAGTGTCACTCACGGGGAAGTGGAAACACGAATCTTAACTGGTGAAAAGCACAGCCTTCCCTGGGTGTCGGGTGGGGAGGGGTGTTAAAGTTTTCAATAGGATTTCAGCTAAACATTTAAGCAAATACTGAGGGTTGGGGGGAGTGCTGTTCCCTCAAAACTGAAGTCTGCTGGAACCCTTTCTCCCCTTGCTTTGTGCTAGTATCAGGAAAGGGGAAGGGACCCATACAAGGCAGAGCGCGCGCATTTCTCCTCCTGACCGAAGTGTCCCCACTAACCTCGGGTTCCTCACGTCGCCGCGGCAATCCTGGGTGTCCTCAGGGCTTCGGTTCCCATCCCAGAGGCAGGTTCAGTGGCTGGGCCCCAGGCTGCGTTCCCCACCAGAGACAGGCCAAGCTTAGCCCCCAAAAAATTTTATCTGGAAAGAATGCGGTATTTTTTTAAGTGGCAAAATCAGAACTTCGTTGCACTTTTTCATTATTGTAAATTCAGTATTTTGAGATGCCAGTGAGCCCAATCGAGCGTGGAAAACCCTCCAGCTTTGCTTTCTAACCTCTGCTGAAGGTGAGAAGCCTTCTGACAAAGGGCCCCTTCGAAAGCGATCTGCCGGTTTCCCCTCCTGGCCCAACTGTGTCGTCAGGCACCAAAGCTGCTCCCTCTCCGGAACCTCCTCTCTCTCATTTCTCCCTTTCCCCACTTTTTCTAGCCAAGCCTTAAAGCCATCAGGGCTCTGGCCTCAGGGAATTCAGAGCCAAGAAGAGGGGACAGTCTATCACCAATTGTCTAGCCCCAAACCTCACTGACCACCTCCACGGTGCTGCCCATCAACCTTCACCCCCCCCAAGGAGAGTTCCCTGCTCTCCAGCCCGTGTGGCTGAGACCCGGACGCCGCCCCCAGGGCCCCTTCCCCACACCTCAGGGTTTCCGCTCCAGGACCACCAAGCCCATAGCTGCCTGCCCCAAACGGCCCTGACCTAAGTCCTTGTGATGCCCTCGGCCCTCCTCCGGGTCCTGGCGAATCCTCACCATCCTTCAGTCTCAACCCTGTAGCATCCCCCTGGCCCAAGTCTCCCCTCACCCTTTCTCCGGCAGGACCACCTTGTCATCCTGCCTCCCCACCCACAGCCCCCGGCTACAGGGGGAGCCACTGTGGCCAGTTTTACACCCTGGGACTGGCCCCGAGGGCAAAGCTGACCCTAGCCTACCTCTCCAGAGATCCGAGGTCAACGTGGGTCTCGCTGGGCTGACGTCAGGAGTCGGCGGGGCTACGTTCCCCCCTGAGGGCTCTAGGGGAGAAGCAGCTTCGTTGCCCTCTCTGGTCCGGTCCGTAGAGGCAGCCGCCTGCTTTCCTTGGCTTGCGGCCCCTTCTTCTATGTTCAGAGGCAGCAACATCGCATCTGACTCTTCTGTCGTATCTCTTTCTGACCCCAGCCGGGAAAGGTCCTCTGCCTTTAAGAACTCCTGTCATTAGGTTGGGCCCATCCAGGTGACACAGGACAATCTCCCCGCCTGAGGGTCCAGAACCTTCATCACACAGGCAAGGGCCCCTCTGCCTTGTAAGGTGACATCTCTGAGCCTCGGGGGTGACCCCTTCGAGGGGGCCGTCGTCCTGTGTAGCCAAGGTCCTAATCTGGGAGGTTTTTCTGAGATGGGCGGCAAGCCCCAGACACCCCTGAAACAGCCGGCCCGTAAACCATCCCTAGAAAGACACTATGACACACAAATTGGACAGGAAATGAAGGGGCTGTGATGAGGGACGAGGGAGGCAGGGGTGCGTGGAGTCACTGCGGGCTCCTCCCCAGGTTCCGAGTCCTGAGGCCTGATGCCTCCCAGGCTTTAGGAAGAGGCCTCTGTTGTTTCACGTGAAGGGAACCAGACACCATTCTGGAGGGAGAAGACCAGGAAAGC